CAACCAAGGTACATGCCCTTGACCAGAATCGAACCTAGGACCCTTCAGTCCGCAGGCTGATGCTCTATCCACTGAGCCAAACCGGTTAGGGCTGCTGGTATATTTTTATTAAGATAACTTAAAAACGTTAACAATTGCATGTATTCTTCTTTTCTTGATCTCACATCCTATTTTATTTCCCCTATATTTTTTGGTACCTATAGACAGAAAGATTTAGTAAAGAAAGCTCTAGCCTGGTGGTTGTACACAGTGGTTGAGCATTGACCTATGAACCAGGAGGTCTTAGGTTCAGTTCCTGGTCAGGGCATATGCTGGGTTGTGGGCTCGATCCCCAGTTGGGGGCGTGTAGGAGGCAGTCGATCACTGATTCACTTTTACCATTGATGTTTCTATCTCTCTCTCCCTCTACCTTCCTCTCTGAAATCAATAAAAATATATAAAAAAGAAGAAGAAAAAAGAAAGCTATATTTGTCTACCAGCTGCAGAATTAATATTGAAATATTAATATGATGTTGGTATTAGAATATGCCATTTTATTTTTTTCCTTGTGTTTTTGTATTTTTCTAAACCAAATTTAGATCTGCAATTATTTTGGTTCTCTGCATTGTTGAGAATTTCTGATTTTGCATATCATCCCATTCTGCATAGGAATCAAACAGTAGATACACATTAGAAAATAGACAACCTATTAACCTATTAAAAATATTTAATTTAAATTTTGTATTTTATTTTAAGTAGGGCCATTTTGGGTCCATTCTGCATATTGACATACCTATGACTAGCATTCAGATTTGCTTGCTTGTGCTGTATATGGAGAGAAGTGTTGAAGATACTTTTGCCTTTGAAAATAGATTTTGTCTTATTCCCATAGCATGCCCTCTCTCATCAGAAGCCAGCTGCTCACCAGAGTTGCAATATAAGGACAGTGCTGCCCCCCTAAAGTGTGATGGACAGTGCTGAAGGGAGAAGTAGTAGGCGAGCTTGCTGCTATATTTCTTTTCTTTTCTTTCTTTTTTTTTTTTTTTTACAAATGCAGTTGATTGAAGATAAATATGCAATTATAAGAAATAATTCCTTGTGCATTTCCCTCAATGGTAACATTTTGCAAAAACAATAAGGTAATAGAACTAGAAAATTTACATCGAACAATCTATCTACTGTATTCAGATTGCCACAGCTTGACTTAAACTCCTGTGTGTGTGTGTGTGTGTATGTGTATGTGTGTGTATAAGCTTTTAAATTCTATACAATTTTTTTTACCTGTGTAGGATTTTATATCTACTACCACATTCAAGATACTGAGTAGTTCCGCCCTGACCGGTTTGGCTCAGTGGATGGAGCGTCAGCCTGCGGATTGAGGGGTCCCAGGTTCGATTCCGGTCAAGGGCATGTACGGTGGTTGCAGGCACATCTCCAGTAGGGGGTGTGCAGGAGGTGGCTGATTGATGTTTCTCTCTTATCAATGCTTCTGACTCTCTATCCCTCTCCCTTGCTCTCTGTAAAAAATCAATTTTATATATATATAGGAACTGAGTAGTTCCAATACCACAAGGATATCTCCTTTTACTTAAAAAAAATTGTTAATCCTCACCCAAAGATATTTTTTTCCATTGATTTTTAGAGAGTGGAAGGGAGGGAGGTAGGAGGGGAGAGAGAGAGAGAGAGACATCTATGTGAAAGAGACCCACCAATTGGTTGCCTCCTCCATATGCCCTGACTGCAGCCAGGGATTGAACCTGCAACCCAGGTCTGTGCCCTTGACTGCTAATCGAACCCAAGACCCTTCACAGGTCAGGCCAACACTCTAACCACTGAGCAAAACTGGCTAGGGCCTCCTCCTGTTACTTTTTATAATCACACCCAACTCCCTCTAACTCACAAGCACCATCCCTCAACTGGAATTGTCTAATCTGTCTTCCATTTCTAAAATTTTTTTCGTCTCAAATATGTTGTATAACTTTTTTGGATTGACTTTTTTTCACAGCAAAATTCCCTGGAGATGCAACCAAGTTGTTGAATATATTAATAGCTTGCCTCTCTTTATTCTTTTTAAAAGTCTTTATTGTTGAGAGTATAACAGATATCCCCCTTTTTACTCCCCATTGATCCCCTCACCTGGTTGCTGCCCTGCCCCAGGCCTTCACCTTTGGTCTGTGTTCATAGGTAATGAATATATACATATATACATACTAGAGGCCCGGGGCATGAAATTCATGCATTGTGGGGGGGGGGGGTCCCTCAGCCCAGCCTGCACCCTCTCCAATCTGCGACCCCTTGGGGGATGTCTGACTGCCAGTTTAGGCCTGATCCGTGTGGGATCAGAACCGGCAGTTGGACATCCCTTTCACAATCCAGGACTGCTGGTTCCCAACCGCTTGCCTACCTGCCTGCCTGATTGCCCCTAACCACTTCTGCCTGCCAGCCTGATCACCCCCTAACCACTCCCTTGCCAGCCTGATCAACGCCTAACTCAGCCGTGGGCAAACTACGGCCCGCGGGCCGGATCCGGCCCGTTTGAAATGAATAAAACTAAAAAAAAAAAGACCGTACCCTTTTATGTAATGATGTTTACTTTGAATTTATATTAGTTCACACAAACACTCCATCCATGCTTTTGTTCCGGCCCTCCAGTCCAGTTTAAGAACCCATTGTGGCCCTCGAGTCAAAAAGTTTGCCCACCCCTGTAAC